ATCACACTTGATTTCACTGAGGACTGCATCAGGGTTGTGTTTGACCTTGTGGGAGGGCATGGGGGCATGGCCAGCTTGACGTCACTCCTCAAGGCTCCATTTTTGGCCTCGACGGCCTCCTGCAGCCCTCTGTCAGCCAAAACGGAGCTCGGGGAGGCCGCATGTAGGCCTGCCCTGGCTCTGTTTTCACTGGCAGAGGGCTGCAGGAGGCCGTCACAGCCAAAAACGGAGCCTGGGTGGGCTGCATGAGGCCCTCCAGAGCTCCATTTTCACTGGCAGAGGCACCATGGGCCGGTCCTTTGCTGTTTCTAGGGCAGGTCCACAGGCCAGATCTAAGTAGGCCAGATCCGACCCCCGGGCCTTGAGTTTGACACCCCTGCTCTAGAGTATGGTTGTGTTCTGACCTAGGTTTCCCCAAACCACGAAGTAGACTCCTTATCCTGACAAAAACCCCTTTTTATTAAGTTACTGTGAATTCCTCTCACTCACATCCAAGTCTTTCAGGGGTGAATTTACAGTCACAGACCATATCTGGTTTGGAGAGCTGCCAGGCCAATGTCTTCAGCACTTGGCAAGACATCTCAGAGACTCACAAACCAATTAAGCAACTTAATTGTCTCCTGCAAACTCCCCTCCCTTCCCCTTTCGCTCCTCTTTTATTCCCTATGGGAGGGGCCATTCACCATCCACCTATGGCTTTACTTCCAAGTCGACCTTTATTCCTTAGCTGTTTCGTTCATCTGGCAACTCTGCACAAGCGCACACACTGGGAACAGGCTCCAGCTGTTTATTTGTCTCACCAATGTCTGACTCCTAAGGCAGCCGCTAACTGTCAGACAGCCCTCGCCCCCTTTCTGCCTCTGACGCAGAGCCCTCATCAGAGCCTTCCCCAGACACAAGGACTGGCCCATGCTCCTCCCCAACCTCCTCACTGTCCAAATCTGCTGGCAGGCCACAACAACATGTCCAACCTGGGCCACATGGAGTAAAGAGGAATTGTCTTGGACCACATATAAACTATATAGTATAGTTAATGAATATAAAATCAATATTTAAAAGTTTATGATCTTGTAAGGCACTTTACTAGTTGTCCAGGACCTCATGTGGCTCATTGGTGATGGGTTGGATATGCCTGCTCTAGAGCAACCTGATTGTAACTTGATTTTTATTTCCCATCAAGCAAATCTGCCTTCCTTCTCCCAGAGCCAAGCCTGCTTAGGATGTATGTATATGTATATGTATATGTATATGTATATGTATATGTATATGTATATGTATATGTATATGTATATGTATATGTATATGTATATGTAT